AGGGCGGGCGGCGGGGCCGGCGCGGTGCTGTCCTGCGCGCCCCGTGCATCCATCCATCGGAGCCCGGGCCCGCCGGCAGCACCGGCTGGCTCCTTCGGCTCATGCCGCAGCTCTGCTGCCGGCTCCGCTGCTGCTTAGCACGGCCGGGTCGGTTTGTGGCCGAGATTTTCATTTACACAGAAAACAAGCGCAACAGGTTTTTCCTTCCCTCTCCCCCCTCTTTTCCTCCCCTTTCCCTTTTCCTCCCGTTTGTCTCCCCTTTCTCCCCTCTCTTCCTCCCCTTTCTCCTCTCTTCCTTTTCTATTCCTCCCTTCTTCTGCCTCTTCTTCCCCCTTCTCCCTTTTCCTCACCTTTCTTCTGTCTTTTCCTCCCCTTTTCCTTCCTCTTCTCCTGCCTTTTTCTCCTCTTTCTCTCTCTCTTTCCTCCTCTTTCCCCCTTCCCCCCATCTCTGCTTTTCACCAAAACCACAGCAATATTTGGTGCTTGCCCTGAGATTTGTTCCAAGGTTCCGGTGGTTTCATGCAACTCTCTTGTATGTGATTTTTGTTCTTCATTCCAGGCCCCCCCAAGGCAGTCCCTGCTCACAATGTATAGGACAAAAGTCAGTTTGAAAGACCGTCAGCAACTTTACAAACTGATAATTAGTCAGCTTCTCTATGATGGATACATCAACATTGCTAATGGCTTGATAAATGAGATCAAACCACAGTCGGTCTGTGCACCCTCTGAACAACTGCTGCACCTAATTAAGTTAGGTAAGCTGGAGTCAAAAGCTGACATAAAAGTCTAGTTTCTAATTCCCCAGTGAAGTAAGGGGTTGGTGTCACTGCAAAGACACCTTTGATGCAAAGGTGGTGTCTGGTAATAGCACAACACTTGTACGTTTGGGTACAGCCTTTGCCTCTGTGGGGTTTTTTGAAGGGCATTTCTGTTTCATTAACAACAAACCAGATCCCTGAGTGTTGTCCAAATCTGTTTGAACTCCTTTAAGGACACTCAGGGCTCTGGGTGAGTGGCAGCCTTCTCAAAACATCCCAGTGAACGGGATCACTGAGCTCACAGATCTGAGGAAAATTTCACCCTCACAATTCTGCTGTTCCTGACAGTGTTGGAAAGGGAGCATATCCTTCCATTGGCAAACTTTGCTGGCCTTTATGTATCAATCTCCAGGAAACAGCTTCACACTCTGGGGTCTCAGCAGGGCTGTCACCTGTTCTTTCCCTGTACTTCCCTCTGGAAGTGCTGCAGCGTAGGGAGAACAGGGAAAGCCCCTCAGCTGCAGTTGGAACAAGCTGACCAGGTCCTGGAAGAGCTCTGGCCATGACACCATGCGTAACTCAACTGGTTCTGCTGCCTGAACTAGCTGAGTTCTGAGGGTATAAATCTGTGAAGCTCTGTGTCTGTTTGAAGTACAAATTCTAGACTTGAGCAGATCAAAGCAACGAAAAGATCACCACTGGGCTGGTGTCTGCCCTGTGGCCACTTCTAGTGCTGAACTCTCTGGTCTGTAGCTGCATCCTGGAAATAAAGATAAAAGTTTGTGAAGTGGGCTTGAAGACCAGCAAGTTTTTTCCCTTGCCATGCTGGGATAGTTTGGCTTCAGTGCAGTAGAATAGGAAAAGAGTCAGTAAATGCTCTGGGTTTTTTACTTTAAACTCATGTAATAGTGTTGGGGCTTGTTGCTGCCCTATGAAGAGCTGACCAGAGGTCTGTCTGTGGTCAGTGGCTGATGGTCAGTGCATTTATCAGCCCTTTCCCATCTTCACTGGGGTATTCCCAGAGTTCACCAGGAGCTGTGCCTGCTCCAGCGCAGCCCAGCTCTCTCTCACTCCTCCAGTGCTGTGTGACCAAACCTGCTCTGCCAGCTCAGCTCTCCCCTCAGGGCTGCCTTTCCCACAGCCTCCCCTGGAGCCGTGGTGGGCTCTGAGAAGGGTGCCAGCCCTGAGTGCCACGCTGCTGTGTCCCCAGGCATGGAGAACGACGACAGCGCTGTCCAGTACGCCATCGGCCGCTCGGACACCGTGGCGCCGGGCACCGGCATCGACCTGGAGTTCGACGCCGACGTGCAGACCATGTCCCCCGAGGCGTCCGAGTACGAGACCTGCTACGTGACATCCCACAAGGGGCCCTGCCGCGTGGCCACCTACAGCAGGGATGGACAGCTCATAGCCACGGGCTCGGCTGATGCCTCCATCAAAATCCTGGACACCGAGAGGATGCTGGCCAAGAGTGCCATGCCCATTGAGGTAAGGGATTGTAGTCACTCTGGGAATCCTGTGTATGCCGTGCCCATTGAGGTAATGAATTGTAACCACTCTGGGAGTTCTCTCCATGTCACATCTGTACCTTGTGGCTGCCTCAGTGGATGGGACTAAATACCTGTCTCAACATACTCCCTACTCCAGCAGCTGCCCAAAAACTCTCTTTGAAGGAAGAAGAGCCAGGGCAGGGACACTGTCATCCCTGGCAGCAGCAGAGAGAGAACTGAGCCAGAAGTGGCTTCTGCTGGGTACTTGTCATGGCTGCATTGTCTGAGCACAGTTCATATTAAACCCACCTGTGGCATCTGCAGCCCTCATGGCCACCCGTGTTTTCACTGTGTATTTCAGGACTGTGCCACACACTGATTTGCTTTATCTTTCTCCAAAGGCATTCAGTTATCAGGTGGCAATGAAAAGTGGGATTTTTTTTTGCAGAGAGCACACAACAAATTCTCAGCAAAGAGCTGCAGTTTCAGTGCAGCTTCTCTCAATTCTTCCAGCAGTCAGTGTTTTGCTTTGGGCTGTTTATGAAGGTGATGTTTTCTTGCACCAGTTCTCTTCTACTGAAGTATTTTGTCCTTGAGCTAAGTTGTTTTGACCTTTGTGAAGATACAGGGATCTTATTTGTTGACCTATAAAGGGTCTCCAAATAACCAAGGGAACAGATTGTGTGCCTGGTCACATCAAAAAGGAGCTGTTGTTCAGCCACTCTGGCAAGCCTAAAACCTAGTTTTCTGTCAAAAACCTGCTTTGTTTTCCAACAGCAACATTTTGAATGATCTTTGTAGGTCATGATGAACGAGACAGCACAGCAGAACATGGAGAACCACCCGGTGATCCGGACTCTGTACGATCACGTGGATGAAGTGACGTGTTTAGCTTTCCACCCAACAGAACAGATCCTGGCATCTGGCTCAAGGGACTACACACTTAAATTGTTTGATTATTCAAAACCTTCTGCCAAAAGAGCCTTCAAATACATCCAGGTGAGATATTGCTCAGAGCAGCCAAAGCTCAGCTGTTGGAGTGCTGAGCTGTTGTGAGCTGGGCTGTGCCTCAGGGGTTAGGGGTGCAGGAGCACAGAGATACATCACCAGACATGACAGAGATTGTGTCTTAATTCTGTGCATCATGGACACTTGTATTTAAATCTAGAGCCTGTCAGCTTTTTATTCATTAGACCAACTCTAATCTGTATTAACTTGGAAGTAATTTCTGTTATCTTTTGTTTTGGAGGAGCGTTTGGGTTAGGGTTAGGGTTAACCCAGACTCAGGGGGCACTGCAGGCTGCTCTAGCACAAAAACTACAGTGCACCCATGGGCAGCCTGTCATTTCAATCCCACAGGAAACATTTTCCACTTTGTGCTGATAATTCAAGTAGTTTTTTAGCACTTGAACACCACTGACCCTTCCAGTTCAGCTTTTCTCCTTCCTCACTCGGCCGTGTGTTCTTAATCCAACAGGAAGCAGAGATGTTACGCTCCATTTCATTCCACCCTTCTGGGGATTTCATCCTGGTGGGGACCCAGCACCCAACCCTTCGTCTGTACGACATCAACACCTTCCAGTGCTTCGTGTCCTGCAACCCCCAGGACCAGCACACGGATGCCATCTGCTCCGTCAACTACAACGCCAGCGCCAACATGTACGTGACAGGCAGCAAGGATGGCTGCATCAAACTCTGGGATGGGGTCTCCAACCGCTGCATCACCACCTTTGAGAAGGCACACGATGGAGCTGAAGTCTGTTCTGCTATTTTTTCCAAAAATTCCAAGTATATCTTGTCCAGTGGGAAAGACTCTGTGGCTAAACTCTGGGAGATATCCACTGGTCGGACGTTGGTGAAATACACAGGTATGTGGCAGGTGACCTTCCAGACACCTTCTTTTCCAGGTGCTGAGCCATGGCAGAGCTGGGAATGCTGTCAGGAAATAATATTCCTAAAGGCAATGGAGAAACTGCTACTTTGAGGATAAATTGCCCAAGATTTATGAAAACATTTCTATTAGATCAGTTCCAGATTAGCTTTGATTCTGTATACCTTTGTAAATGTATTTTAGTCTGAGTAGATTTTGGAGAATTTTCTGACGTCGTTACTCCATTGTTCTGGAGGGAAGTTATCGCTAAATTGGGGAAAAGTAAGAAGAAACACTGAAGCTAGTTCAGGGCAGTTGATTTGACCATTAACTCTGTGGCTCTGTAGCCATGGCAGTGCTCTGAAATGCACCTACAGCTGGTTTGTTCCCTTTTTTCTGTATTTTCTGCCAAGGATGCAGTTGTGTGTGAGGTAGTCATCCTTGGAGCGTGCTGACAGTGCCATGCTTGGATCTCGGCAGGAGTTAGGGAATAATGAGGGCTGTGGAAGCCTTGCATGTGACAGCAGCTTTGTGAGAGGCTTTGGGGTCAAGGGCTGATGTGCTTAAGCAGCAGGAGCACAAAAGATGCTGCAAATGGTTTGTGTCAGCTTTTGGGGTTTGTAGGTCCCGTTGTGCAGTGCAGCTCTCCTGCTCGCGGCCAGCAGGGAGCAGCACTTTCCCGGGAATCCTGTGCCCGATCCCAGGCAGTGTGCAGTGCACCGTGTCTGTGGCAAACACACTGCACCTGAAGGCATGGCCAAGGTAGGTCATACAGCGTGTGCTGTGTGATAAACACTCTGAAAGGTCCTCAAGGATCATCAGGCTCTGGGTTCTCTTCTCCTTGGTCACAGCTGAAAGCCTCGTGCAAAAATGTAAGGCAGAAATACTCTTAAAGGTAAGGGATTGGACATGGCACAGCTGGAGTAGGTATTCCTTCTGGTCCCTAAGGAATGTTAGAATATATGCATGGACAGCAGCAGGAATTTCCCCATGGAAAGGGTGGCCAGGCCTTGGCAGGAGCTGCCCAGGGAGGTTTGGAGTTCCCATCCCTGGAGGTGTCCAAGGAACACCTGGATGTGGCACTCAGAGCTCTGCACTGGGGACAAGGTGGGGATGGAGCACTGGCTGGACTCAAATCTTTCTGCTCCTGTGATACAACTACAAAAGAATATCCATTATTGCATCACCTGTTGCTTGTGGAAGTGGTTGAACAGCAGAGAAAATAGAGCTGTGTAGAAAATTGATACTCTTAGGTATTGAAAACTTCCTAAAAGTCCCCATTTTGCTGCCTATATTTAGGTGCTGGTTTGAGCGGCCGCCAGGTGCACAGGACTCAGGCTGTGTTCAACCACACAGAAGATTATGTGCTGCTGCCAGATGAAAGGACCATAAGCCTGTGCTGCTGGGACTCCAGGACTGCAGAGCGCAGGAACCTCCTGTCCCTGGGCCACAACAGCATCGTGCGCTGCATCGTGCACTCCCCCACCAACCCCGGCTTCATGACCTGCAGCGACGACTACAGGGCCAGGTTCTGGTACAGGAGGTCCACCACGGACTAAGGAGAGCTTTCCAAGCAGGATTGCCCAGCTCCTGCAGCCCTGTGTGATTGTGCTGCCAACAGCTGCCTCTGGGGAAGCCGCGCTGGGGCCGCTTTGGATTCTGCCAGACGTGGCAGGAGAATTACAAATATTGAGACTTTTCACCCCGCGCTAATTTTTTTATTGGTGTACGGGGTTTAATTTTTATAAGTCATCTCTAACTGTACTGAAGGGAGGGGGTGGAGAATAAAATGATCCTGGCAGGAAGAGCTTGTTCCCCTGCCCGTCTGAATCACACACAAGGTAATGGGACTGTGTCCTGCTCAGAGTGGCAGAAGGAGCCGGTTCTGCTCTGTCTTGTGTCTGTGCAATCCCACTGAACTCTGGTAGAGAATAGATCACACAAAGAGCAGCAGAACTTGGTGTAAAACACTGTCATGAAGCCTTAAGCTGCCTTCAGCCACAATTCATTATTTGTAAAGCTCTGGTTTGTATCTTCCAGTCTGGGGTTTTGGTGAATTTTTTTTTAAAACTCACACTTCATCTCATCCTCTTTTATCTTCACAAGTGGGACCTCAAAATATATTCCTAAGATTTTTAAGGAATATCCACATTGCAACTGAAATGTAACAGTGCTGCTGCAGGGGAAAATGAGAATAATTTTTGCCTTAGAGACCTTTAATGTCCTCTCAAAGAAAGAAACTTGTGCATCTGAATTTTTGTGTGTGCACCTCAGAAATGTCACTGAATCATTTGGCTGAGAAATCTTCACCTATGTCTGTTCCACAGCACTTCAGTTACATTCTTTTTTAATTGGTTACAAACCCAGTGCCCATCCTTAAGAAACTGTGCTTAAAACTTCTCCAAGTTGGAAAATTCACTACTTTTTTCTCCCAGAGATCTGCCTGAGCAGAGTCTTAAACTTGTTTTTTTGAGGCTTCCTCTTGCAGAGCTCTTGGGCTTCACAGCTGGGAGGCTCCTTTGGTCAGAGCTCAGCACTTGCCTTTATGAGGGTTTTTAAATGTGAGGTTTCTTGCTGCTGGATTAACTTCCATTACACTGAGGAATTGTCAAGGGCTGGTGAGGGTACATGTTTTGTCTGTATTTAAATAAAGATTGCCTTTTAAAATGCTCTTTGATACATAAAGAAGGAATTGTATTTGTTTTCTGTTTAACAAAGGAGAAGTCAAATATGGGAGGCTGGGGCTTGGGGACTTGGGAGTGATGAATTTGTTGTGTTCCACCTGAATCAGGTACAATTACAGACTCAAAATGCAGAATGTGGGATGTTTTAAAGAATGAAATTCCATTTTCTCTTGAAAAGCTCCCTCCATGCAAAATATTTCTGAGGCTTAATGCTCTTTGCTCCTCCTCTGCCTCTGTTGTGACCCTTCAGAAGCGGTGGTGGTGAGAGATAGTGGTGCTGGTGGTTTTTGGGGCAGAAACAAGGAGAAGCAGAGCTGGGGGAGGGCAAAGGGAAGTCCTGACACAGTCACTGAGGGGTGGTGTGGGATGGGTGACAGCAGTGGCTTTTTATTTTTGGAGTGACACATTTTCTAAATTCTGCTAAAGCACCTGTCCATAATTCATGCACTCGTTACTGGGGTTTGAATCTGCTTTAAACCCTCTTTTTGTAGTTTATATGTTAAAAGCCCTGCTGTGGTTGTGAACAGTGGGAGCTCTCACCTCAAGTTTCCCTAGCTCTGGGGGCTTCAACTCGCAGTGCAAGAGCAAAAAGTTACATTTTTAACACAAAACCATGCTGCCATCAGCACCCTGCTGCCTGTCCATGTCCTGGACATCCTCCTGAGGCCACAAGGGGCTGGGAAAAACTGAACTCATCCTATTGAGGGAGAAAGTGCAACCCTGGAGTAAAATTTAATGTCCCAGGCCAGGCTGGATGGGGCTTGGAACAAGCTGTTCTGGTGGAAGGTGTCCTGCCCATGGCATGTCCTGAGGTCCAACCCAAACCATTCCCTGACTCTGGAAACACCTTTCCCTGTGGAAGTCTGGAGGTGCCTCGAGTTCTGATGGGCTCCTGCTCCCTGCAGAGACCACTTGGAAAGGCAGGAAAACCTGGCTGTGCATTCCTGCGCTGCTGGCACCGTGGAGTGGAGTCTGATCAGGGCTGGGCAGCTCCTCCTTGTGCCACAGCCCTGCTCTCACTGCTGCAAAAGAGGAAACAGGAGCAGGGCAGAGGGCTCTGACTTCCCACTGCTTCACTGTGACAAGCTGGTGGCACTAAGCCCAAGGAAAATCCCGCTTGCACCTCTCGTTTTCTCACTTGGAGTCGCCAAAAGGGCTTGTTTTGGTTTTTATTCTGCCTTCTTCTGTTGTCTCAGATATTCTCCCAGAAGAGAAGCTTGTTTCCAAGTGCCTTTAGGGGCAGAGCTGTCAGATGGACTTTGCCGAGGGGGAGCTGCCCACACACAGAAGCTGGGCACGGCTGCAGTGTCCCCGTCCCACTGTGACCCTTGCACTGCTCCAGGTGGGAATGACAACAATGGATGTGAGCCCCAGGAGCAGCACAGCTGCAAAGGTAGGGCTGGCTTTCTGAGTGGGGAAGGGTTTGGTGTTTGAAATCAGGGGTGGTGATGTTGGAAATAGCACTGCTGAGAGCCCTCCAGCTGTGGCACTTCATGGCAAGAGGGACCTGGAGGGGCTGGAGCGTGTCCAGGGCAGGGAACAGAGCTGGGAAGGGGCTGGAGAATTCCTGAGGGAGCTGGGAAGGGGCTGGAGAATTCCTGAGGGAGCTGGGAAGGGGCTGGAGAATTCCTGAGGGAGCTGGGAAGGGGCTCAGCCTGGAGCAAAGGGGGATCAGGGGAATTTCTGGCTCTGCACAAGTCCCTGGCAGGAGGGGACAGCCGGGGGGGATTTGGGATCTGCTCACAGGGAACAGGGACAGGAGGAGAGGGAACGGCCTCAGGCTGGGCCAGGGGAGCTCAGGGGGGACAGCAGCAGGAATTTCCCCATGGAAAGGGAGCTCAGGCACTGGAACTGCCCAGGGAGGGTTGGATCCCCATCCCTGGAGGTGTCCCAGGAATTCCTGGAGGTGGCACTGAGTGCTCTGAGCTGGGGACAGGGTGGGGATGGGGCACAGCTGGGACTCGATGGGCTCAGGGGTCTCTCCCAACCTCAGTGGCTCTGTGATTCTGTGAAGTGTTTGGGTTCCTCATCTCAGGGGGACAGAAGGTTCTTGTAGCTCACGTCCCCCTATGGTTTTCATGGTGACAAAGCCACTGACTGGGAGAAATGTCTTGTTGAAGATCCTGAATAAAGCAGGATTGAAAACCAACAAATACCTGGAAATAACCTCATTTGTGAAATGATAAAGGTACAATGTCAAGGTTCCACCTTACTGCTGTGCTGCAGTGACATTAGAGACACAGATCCTTTGCCAGAGACTTTCAGTGACAGCCCTGGTGCCCTCTTGCATGACATAATTTCTTTATGTTACATGCAAACCAGAAAACATTTTGAAACACTCTGTGTTCCTATTTTGAAAGACTGGACCCAGTGTATAAGGTTTGCTACATTTATTTCTGTACCCATATTCCATCCAGATTAATTTTATATTGACCAGAGGTCCTGCTGTACCTGCAAGAGTTGGAGAACGCTGAAATCTTGATTCAAAGTCAGTGCCTTGCTGTCCTGCTGCAGGTCTCAAAGGTGTAATGGAATTAATTTCATCACAGATTATGACCTCAGTGTTTGCTGTAAATAAACTGCCTCCTGGAAATTTAATAGAAAATGTAGTGGGGGGAAAAGCTTAGTAGGAGCTCAGTGAGTCATTTTGTTACACTCTAAATTTTCCATCAAGACTTGTAAAGATTAGGGGGCTACGTTTCACACTGAGTCTTCAGTAACTGAGGCAGGACATTTTTCATCTCCATATAGAAGAATTTTCTATTTCTACATATATTTCCAGTTCTCTTGAGTGGATTGTCAATAAATCAATGTACTGCCAGCAAACTGATTCTCTGTTCTGCTGTGAGCATTTCAGACATGGCCAGAGCCAGTCAACTTCACCTAAGTAATAAAAAACCAAACTAATTTCTGCAACATCATTTATGAATTCTTTCTAAGGCCCCTACCCTGGCAGTACTGTTTATTATAATATTTGAATTATATAAAAATACAAAGGGATTTTTTTTCCCCTACTCTCTGGACTCCTTGAAGCACCAACCCTCAGCAGCATTGCTGTGACAGGAAACACTCTGCAATTATCCCCGTGTCCCAAATATTGCACCTGTCCAGGGAATCACCTCTGGAAGAGATTTCAGTCTCAGTTGAGCCAGCAAATGTTGCTGTTTGTTTGTTGTTGCACAGGAAGCGTTGCAGCCCTCGCTGCAATTTCAAACCCCGTGAGCTCTGCGGGTTCCTGCGGTGGGACAGCTTTGGCTGAGCTGCTGCCAGAGGGAAAAGGGGAGAGTGTTTGGATGTGCATGAATAGGATCTGGAGTTTATTTCTCCTAAAATGCCCTGTTCACATCTTCCCACCTCGCCCACAAGTTGGGGTGTGGGGAATGAGCCTCTGTCCCTGTGCCCCGCTCAGGTGAGACCACACCTGGGGTCTGGAAGGAGCTGGGGCTGCTGGAGAGGGTCCAGAGGAGGCTCCAGGAGGAGCAGAGGGATGGAGCAGCTCTGCTGGGAGAGCTGGGATTGCTCACCTGGACAGGAGAAGCTTTGGGGTGAGCTCAGTGTGGCCTGGAGGAGCTGCAGGAAAGATGGAGAGAGACAATTCCCAAAGGATGGAGGGGCAGGAGCCAGGGAATGGCTCCCAGTGGCAGAGGGCAGGGCTGGATGGGATATTGGGCAGGAATTGTTCCTGGCAGGGTGGGCAGAGGCTGGCATAGCTGCCCAGAGCAGCTGGGGCTGCCCCTGGAGTGTCCCAGGCCAGGCTGGAACTGGGGCTGGGAGCAGCCTGGGATAGGGGAAGGTGGCCCTGCACAGCAGGAATTCCCTCTGGGACTCATTCATGGGAACATTGAATTGCATTTGAAAGTAGTTCTGTGGCCACAAGTTGTGGGTTTGTAACTGATATTTCTCCATCATTTCAAATGCTGGAGCACCTGAAAAACTCCAGGGTAGCAAATGAATGGTTCCTGATCACCTGCACAGAGGGTCTGAAGGGATCAGACTGCTGCTTCTGATATTAAAAAAAAAAAAAAGAAGAAAGAAGAGAAAAACCACAAAGATCCTGAAATGGGCCACTTTGTGCCAGGAATTCTTTTCTCCTGTGCACAGCAGCTGGTTTGCTCCCAGCCCAGAGGTGTAGATTTTGTTGATGAAACTTTTCAATTCAACATTTTCCACTCAAGATACTCAAGTCTTTTCTAGCTACAGGATTGTGCCTTTGGGAGCCAGTGTCTAATTTAATCTTGAAGCTACTGTGGAAAGAGGAAGGAAGAGGCTTTTACCAGAGAAAAGCCAGCGTGTACAAAGGCAAAACCAGTAAAAATTTGCAAACCCCAAGATATCCTGAGTCCAAAGTGGTAAAACCTGTGCACCAGCATGACCTGGACTCAGCTGTGGCCAAGCAAATAGCAACCATTAATAATTTTAAATAACATTTCGCCTTAATAATATTCAAGGATTTTTTTTTAGCCTATTTCAAGGAAACCCTTCAGCTGCAGGTCATATTTAGCTTTCCTCCTCAGGTTTTCTGCCTCTTGCAGGGTGAGGTTGTTTTGCAGGGGGTTTATAACCACAAAGGGGTTCTGTTCAGGTTTCTAGAGACAGGTTAGAAGTGTAGCAAACCTCACACCACTTTTAAACTAAGAAAAAAATAAAATAATAATAATAAAAAAAAAACCCAAACCAAACCAAAAATCAAACAAAACCTAAAAAAACCCCAAACACAACAAACCAGGAGTAAAAAATGCTGCTGCAAAAACGCTTCCAAATCCAATCCTTTTCCTGCTGCAGCCCTGGGGTTTCTGTTCAGAGCAGGGAAGGCTCCCTGCAGGGGGGTCTGTGTGTCCTGCACATCACCAGCTGCAGCCCAGCAGCTCCTGGAGGGAATTCTGCTACGTAATGAGCTCCCCCCATTCCCAGAGCAGCTTTTCTGGGGCAGGAGGTGACAGAGGCTGAGCTTTCCCTCTCCAGGCTCCCAGCCAGAGCCTCCAGTGCTGCCTGAGCCACTGACAGGGCTGGGGAGATCCTCCTCCTCCTCCTCCTCAGGTGATGGACTAGCAGGGAAAACAGGCAGAAAAATGAAGGTCAATGTAAGTACTGGGTTATTTTCTTTCTGCTGCAGTTAATTTAATGATTTTCCTGATTTCATTTGTAGTGGATAGAGGGGGAAATCTGGGTTTCCCCTGCCAGGGTCCCTTTGCAAGGTGTGTGTTCAGCTGATTTGCACATCACTAAAGGAGCACGTGCTCTTGATTTTTAAAATATAATCCAAATGAATCCCTTCTCCAGAACAGCAGTGTGACTGAGGAGGGTGAGGGTTTGTTCTGTGTGCAGTGAGTAATAACAAGTTCATTAAAAATGATCATGAATGACCCAGACTGGTCACTTCCACATTCTCTTGGAAAAAAAAACGAGGTTAAGAGTTGAGCTGTGCATTACCTCAAAAAAGATGATGATTTTGCACCGATTCCTAGAAGATGGGCAATGGAAATGTCTCAAGAACTGAGGTCACTGTGTGATGAGGAAAACACTAAGAAATTTCAGCCTGAGCCCTGTGAGCCTTCTCACCGAGGGAAAGACTGGCCACATCCTGTCTGCAGGGAGAACTGGAGCTCAGGAGAGGAGAGGATGCTCATTTTTGGGAAATACTGTTCTCTCCTGGTGTTGAGGGCAACGAGCCATGGCTCAAACGCATTTTGGAGCTGTTTGTCCCCGGCTGTACCCCAGTCCCTGGGCTGGGCTTTGTGCTGAGCTGGGGCTCTGGCTTGGTTTGCTCCGAAACAGGAGCTTTGCAGGGATGTGCAGAGGGCAGGGTGAGGATTTGGGGGCAGGCAGAGAGCCCCAGGATGCTGCAGCTCTGGGAGTTGTGATGCTGCTGCTGCTGATTCTTTGTGAATCAGAAACCCCCACCCTGAACTCGAAAAAGGGCACAGCATGCAGGGACAGCACCCTGGCACCTCCAGCAGCAGGAATTGCTGAAAAAATTCCCTTTTTTCAATGAAAAATGTGCCATTTGCTCCTGCTGAGCTTCCCTGGGAATGTTTTGCCTGATCCATAGGCAGGGAGAGCAAGGAGGGTGAGGACCCTGCTCTGAGGAGGCTGCTTGTACTCAGCAGGACTTTCTGTATCTGTAAACAGAAATAACAGAAAAATAAAAATAAATTCAGTCAGGTATAATCAAGATACTGAAAGGTTTAAAAAAAGTAAAAAAAACCCTAAAGTGGTTGACTTCATATGGGAAAAATAATTAAAAAAAAAAATAAAATTTGAGGACCCAAAGGCCAGGAATGTCACACAGGGAGGGTTTGGAGCAGCAGGAAGTGACAGTTTATTTTCCCTTGAATTCACATAAAAATGCTGTGAGTGGGATGAACTCCTGGCTGCACTTGCCCGTTCTGGTGA